TCGCATAGCCTGCAAGGTGGTGCAGTTGGTAGCATTGTTGCCTCGCAGCAAGGTTGCTGGTTCGCACTGGAATCTTTCTGCGTGGAGTTTGCATGTTCTCCCCGTGCAGCGTGGGTTGTCTCCAGGTTCTCCGGCTTCCTAACACACAGTCCAAAAACATGTTGAGGTTAGTTGGTGATTCTAAATTGTCTGTAGGTGTGAATGTGAGTGTGCTTGGTTGTCTGTCTCTAAGTGTAGCTCTGTGATAGACTGGTGACCTGTCCAGGGTGTCCCCTGCCTTCACCCTGAGTCAGCTGGGATAGACTCCAGCCCCCCATGACCCTAGTGAGGATTAAGAGGTGTATAGATAATGGATGGATGGATGGTCCGCATAGCAATTTCTGATATTCAAAAATCAAAGTTACTATCCAGATACCACCACCACGACTGAATATTCAGATCGTCAGGTCCAGCCCTAGAGTTTTGACATGTTTTCTCAGAGTTGTCGTCCTTTATTAATGTTGTGTCTATTTGTTTTAAGTCATTTCCCCCCTTACCTTAACCTGACCTAGATAGACATATATCAGACATATAGATAGATACTTCATTCATCCTCTCGGGGAAGTTCAAGCCTGAATACTTGTTTTTTTTCTTCAACCTCAACCCAAACCCAAGCAATCGTATCTGCAACGCCGAGCTGTGATCTACAGTCAATTATGTTACTGTAGCAAACCGGATCTGAAGTGGAGCCTGACTTCAGCATGAGACTGAATTATCTTCATGTGAGCGCAGACAGCATCAGCCGGTAACACGCTGTCAGTTATTACAACCTACTGCAGCTGCACCTCAAAGTAAAAGTCCCAGAGGTAATTCTTCAGGGAGTGACAAATAAGTTGTAAGATCAGCAGCCTCCACTTAGATCAAAACACATCAACCTGAAAGCCCCGTGTGCATCCCTGCTGAAGGGAAGAAGGAACTTTTGGAGGCACATTCCTGCTGCAACTTGCTCACTTGCAATATTTTATTTCTAAAGTGGCTTATGTAACAAATATATATATATATTATTTTTTCCTGCAGCTTTTTCAGAAACACTGAAAAACAAAAAAAGTGGGACACGACATGACAGAGCCTCTCCCAATGAATCAGTATCAATCTATGGACACGACTGTAAGACCGCCAAATAAAAAGTCTCCTCAAATTAGAATAAAAAAAAAACTTAATTCTGCTCACTGACACTGACAACTTCTGCGAGGTGAGGGTTTTTGTTATCCGTCAGTAGATCCATAAACATACACATAAACTTTAAAACAAGTAATCTACTATAATTGCAAAGGCTCTACGTGATGAATCTAAAATAAGTCAGTTCTAATACGAAGCCATAAGTCTGTTGAGGACAAGACATCACTGATTAAGTGTAGGTTCTCTCGTGGCTGTTGTGTTATCAATCTCCTGCCCAACATCACAACGCATTCATCAATAAACTTGGCCAATGGCCTCAAATAAAAAGCCTTGGGCAGAATGAAAACGGGAAACATTTGTCTTTCATGCTTTGAAGCCTAAAACTTTTGCATCAACAGACCAAAAGTTATGCAAGTTTTCCAAACTTGAGAACTGGGCCACGGCTAAAATATTTACTATGTTGACATACATCGTTCATTTGGTTTTCACACATACACACTCAAATAAAAAAGATTTTTACAGATTTTTTTATTTTGTTGATTCATTTCTAAATGTCTTTCCTGACAGTTACTTTAACAAGCAGCGCTGCACTGCTAGCTACCGTCCTATTGTGTTCTGTAAAAGGCGGCAGATTGTTATAAGCTGATCACCTCTTTTATCTAATGAACAAGCTGTCTGTCACTTAGCCGGAGTTTAGTTTGTAATATGCACAGTGTTCTGTCCGTATTAGATCCTGAGTCAGAACTTTGTCATAGTTTCACACCAGAATCAGCAGCAGCTTGTTGCAACTTCAGGTGCTGATGGAGAAGAAAAGTCCGTCTCTATTGCATTGGTCATGATGCATTTAATGGGCCAGAAGGAATCAACTATTGTTACTTTTTTGGCACAATTTACATTTGTTTCTTCTTTATTTAAGACATTGTGCAAAAAAAAAAAACACAAAACAAAACAGTCTTGAAGCATTCTCATTCTCTTAGTTAAAAATTTCTTCTGGGAACATTTTTTTGTTTTGTTTTACAAATTTTGCTTTCAAGAAGTGGATGTCCACAACTTCATGCATAACGCTGACTTCAATTACCTTTAAAAGTATAATCACTCCTCTCACTTTTACAGCAGACAAGCTAGAATGTCTACAGTCTCAGTCAAGTCAAGCCACCGTCATAAACACAGCACATCTAAGAAAACAGACGCTGAGCCAAAGTACTTTCCATGAGAGACACAAGACTTGTGAATTTACCCAACAAGTTTAAACATTAATGTTAAGATTCTACATTATTGTATAAAGTAAAAATCTAACCAGTGCAATGAAACATTAAATCAAGACTCCACAATATTATTTATTATACAATTTACCTGAATAATTTGAATATATTGGCAGACCCTCGAAAAATGTAAAATGTAGAAAAATACCAGACACTTAAGACCCTGTTAAACTGACCTATATATAACACGAGTATACCTGACTGATTGTATGAGATAAGACCCTTTGATGCTACGGATTATTCTAAAAAGTTTAGATATTAAGGTTAGGACCCTGTTATTTTATATATAATACAAAATATACATGACTAAGTTTGATATTGAGATCCTCCAGCACTATATGGTCAATTCCATGTTCTTATTTGTCGTTATATGACAGCCTGGAGGGTGTATGATTGTCCCATTAGATAATAATAATAATAATAATATAAGGGGCAGAAATGTTGACTAGTCACTAAGGAACGAATGAGGAATGACTGAGAAATTAACTGCGAGTATAAAACCTAATTAAATTTTACAGAGTGGCTAATGATGAGTAAATTAAGAAATGAGTGAAAACTGGAACGACTTGATAACTGATGAATTGTTCATAAGTATTTCCATTAAGTTTCCTAATGGAGGACTGTACAGTAGATAATGATGAATTGCCAGAGAACAAGCTGGGAGACCCTCTGTTAATGGGTCATTAGGTGACGATTCTGGATATTTGTCAATCGATCACACTGATTTCTTGCTTCATGAGCGGTTCCTGATCAACTCCAAAGTAGCGCACACTCATTCATGAGTTATTACTGAAACATAGTTGTTTTTATTGGTGGATTCAAAGTAGTGATGTAGAGATAATACTAAAGAATCCCTAAATACCTCAGCATTATCTCAAGATAAAGATAAGACCAGATGAGATAGAACTTTATTAATCCCACAGAAAATGATTGTGCCTGATATCTGGAACAAAATTACATAAGAATAAATGCAGGGAATCACAGAAAAGCAGGATGTGATGCATTACTGAAAATAAAGTTATTATAGGACTAGAATAGAAAAGTAAGAATTGATACTAGCAATGATTCTGACATAGTAAATGTATTTTACACATGACGATGAAATTGAAAATATTATACATGAAGATGAAATATTGCACTTGGAGTTTAAATAAATGAAACATGAAGTTGGCATATTACGCATGAATTTGAAATATTTTATCTGAAAATAAAATATTTCACATTAAAATAAATTACCCTTTTTCTGCCTCACACTGAGCTGTAACTGAATTATAACTTTGTCACTAGTGTTTCTTAACCTGGACCACCTGTTCATTCAGTGTCTTGTGCCAGATATTGCGCTGAAACAAACTTGCATCAGAATAAATGCAAAGCGGAGTTAGAAAAGCATTTGGATATAAACATGATGCATTACTGAACATAAAAATCAGCAACCTAGAGTATGAATGGAATAGAAAAGAAGGGATACAAGCAATGATTCTGAATTAGTAAATTCATTTTACACACGATAATGAAATATCACACATGAAATTGAATTTTTTCACACAGCATTGGAAAGCTACACATGGTTACTAACATGAAGCTCAAATATTACATGATAGTAGAATATTATTATCATTTATCTATTTAGCCGTGGCCCAGTTCTCATGTTGGGAAAACTTGCATAACTTTTGGACTGTTGATGCAAAAGTTTTAGGCTTCAAAGCATGAAAGACAAATGTTTCCCGTTTTCATTCTGCCCAAGGCTTTTTATTTGAGGCCATTGGCCAAGTTTATTGATGAATGCGTTGTGATGTTGGGCAGGAGATTGATAACACAACAGCCACGAGAGAACCTACACTTAATCAGTGATGTCTTGTCCTCAACAGACTTATGGCTTCGTATTAGAACTGACTTATTTTAGATTCATCACGTAGAGCCTTGACAATTATAGTAGATTATTTATTTTAAACTTTGTGTGTGTGTTTATGGATCTACTGACAGGTAACAAAGTTTTTACTAGAAACAAACAAAAAAAAATGTTGTACATACACCTGAAACACATGATAATGAAATACTGAAGTTTAAATATTGCACCTGGAAAATCAAATAGTGCACATGAAGGTGACATGTAATATTTAGCTTGAAAATAAAATATTGCACATGAAATTTAATTCCCATTTCCCCCTTCACAGTGAGCTGCAGCTTCATCACTAGTGTGTTCTTAACCTGGACCACCTGTTCATTCAGTGTCTTGAAACAATATTGAACATGATCATGAAATATTGCACTTGAAGTGTAAATATTGCATCCTGGGAATGAAATACTGCACATGGAGTCGACATATTACGCATGAAAATAAATATTTTGCCTAAAAATAAAATATTTCACCTAAAATTGAATTCCCATTTTGTGCCTCTTCCAGTAAAGTGACGCCTCATACTGAGCTGTAAACTTCATCACTAGTGTTTTCTTCACCTGGACCACCTGTTCAGACTTCACTCATGGCGACGGGGGGACGATGAGACTCCAAGTCCCAGAAGGCCTCGCGGCGCCCACTGGCGTGTGCTCTGCATGCAGTGGGAGAGCTGTGGAGTGTTTGGAGGCGGAGAGTCAGCGGGCTCGCTGTGGAGCTGTGTCGGGCAGCAGGAGGAGCCGACACCGACAGAAAAGAGCGATTCAAAGAAAGACATGAACGTCGCGCAAACGCACAAAATTGCGCTTTGAGTTTGCGCCGGGAGCTGCGGTCGAAGGGTTCATCTGGAGATTTTTTTATTTCATTTTATTTTTTTATTTTTTTTTAAAACGCGGACGGTGTTGACTACGGACATAGCAAGGAAAAAAAAAACCCCGACACAAAATAACAGCAAAAAGGACTCGGCAAAGAGGTGAGAGGGAAGCCGTTGTGGGGGGGCTGTGAGAGAAACTGTAGTGAGAATAGTGAGAATAGTGAACCGCTCCACAATTGGTCACATTTGAAGTTGAAGGAACAGTTGTGTTGGACTGCAGTCACCGGCAGGCTGCTGCTGCTGCTGCTGCTGCTGCTGCCTTTCTGCTGTATTTCTCCTGAATGCGTGCAGTTGTTGTGCTGCTCGCCTCGTCTGGCTGTGTGTGTGTGTTTTTTTTTTTTTAAAGCCCCCCATAGGTGTTAAATTGTATGTGTGCAGGGTGAGGTTGGTACAAAAGACTTGAGCTGCCTCCTCCTCAGTCCAACCGGAGTGAATTGGCGTCGTTTGGCTCTCCTCGGAGATTCCGCCTTTCCGTCTTCAGCCGAGCCTCGAATCCGCTCAACATTTATTTGGGAAGCTTTGTGTCGGAGGCAGGGAGCGTCTCGGAAACGCAGAAAAGGTGGAAATGTACGGCAGCCCGGTGTGAGAGCTGGCTGTGGTACAAAGTAAGACTGTGTGTGTGTGTGTTCTTGGCTGGAGGGAGTATTTGCAATAGAGGTGAAGAGCTAAATGAAAAGGTGCTTAAAGTGTAGTTTAAAAAAAATCCAATAATGGCAGCTTTAATTGAACGCCCTTTCCCCCTTATTTTTATTTATTTATTTTTAGCATTTCCACATGAGCAAGATTTTTTGGCCACCTTTAATTTTTTTGATTTAAAAGGTGGAGTTATCTTCCAGCCATTTCAACGACCCCTCTAAGTGCAGGAAAAGAGGGGTCCTCTCATCTGGACTTTTTTTTTTTTTCCCCCCTCTCCAACAGTTGAGGACGGATGTGGACTGTTTGGGATTTAAAGCCACATAGGAAGGAAGGGGGGATCAGTGGATAGACTAGAGAAACTGGACGAACCCCTGCCAAGAATTTAGTTGCAGGGCAGGCAGGCAGGCAGGCAGGCAGGCAGTGATGTGGGTTGTGGAGGATGAAAGCGCCGAAAAACCAGCTTGCCCACCTCTTGTAGCTGCAGGAATAGAGTTCGCTTCTCTTTGTAGGCTGGAAAAAAAATATCTACAGCAGCGATGTGCATGATAACGACCAGCATCAAACTCTTGCAACAGCGTGCTGCACGGACGTCTGTCTATAAAGCCAGTGAATGCACTGATTACTGTTGGAAATGTGCTTCCTGCCGGGTTAAAAAAACACCTATTGGAGTAATCAAGAAGCTTGGTTGTGCATTTGATCATGAAGTCTGAGCTTGAAAGTGTTTGAATTTTTTGTCCTAATTTTCCTTTTATTTCTGTCTCTGCTTTCCAGGAAAGGAGCCAGGCTTAGTATGTTATTGGAGAAAGTGACTCTGCACTGGCAGCCTCCTCCATGTTAATGTAATGGAAACACGCTTTTGGTCTGTAGCATCTGAAATGCATCAGCGGAAATATATCAGTAACTCCCATGGCTAATTGTATCAAGTGGCGGCAGCTTGAGTTTGCCAGTGGATGCACTCAAGAGCCGGGTGCCCTGCCATGCCCAGCGCCATGCTAAGGCAACACACTCATAATAACAAGGAGCGCTCAGTTCAACCAGTGGGAAAGCTGTGGAAAAAGTTGGTGGAAAATCTATGGTTTGAGCCTCGATTTTGATTTCCCTTTTTTTTTTTTTATTTTGACCTAGATATTCAGTAACGCACCATAGCTCAGCTGCCATCTGCAGCAGCTCTGCTTCTTTCTCTACTTTCACTCCTTCTTCTTGACATCAGCGCCAGGGACGGCCGAACTGCTTTCTGAGAGGCGCATTTGCCAGCTGACGAAATGGATGTTCGACTTTACAGCCAGCCTTTGTCGGAGTTGAAAATGTGAGGGGCAAGAATGAGGGGACCCCTATGAAGCGGAGGAATAGGTGGAACAGCAGCACGAGATCAAAATGGCCCAAACCAGTTTGCTGCAGGGGAAGCGCTTTTACTGCCGGGAGTGGGTCTTCCATAAGATCCAGCATTGCCTCCAGGAGAAAACCAACAACCTCAGCGGAGTGACCAGCACTCCCAGTAAGCAGCCCCCGCTGGCGCCCGGCGGGGGTGCATCCAACCCCGGCATCCTCACAGCAGGATCCGTGAAGTCGGGGAGCTCCTGGGGGGTGTTGCTGGTGGGAGGGCCGGGCAGCGGGAAGAGTGCGCTGTGCACGGAGCTGTTGTGGCCCACGTCGGCCCAGGGCACCCACCGGGGTCTGCACCAGCAGAGCCTGGCTTTCCACTTCTGCCGGGCAGATGACTCGGACACGCTGTGTGTCGGCGGCTTCATCCGAGGTCTGGTGGCTCAGATTTGCCGCAGCGGGCTGGTGCTGGGATACGAGGAGAAGGTGCGTGACCCAGCTGTGCAGAGCACTTTGCAGCCTGGAGAGTGTGAGAGGAACCCCACAGAGGCTTTCAAGAGGTAAGGACACACACCCTCACACACATAAATATAACATCCTCCTCTCTCGCTGGCTCCAAACGCGACTACAACAAGATGATACCGGCGATTAGCACACCTTCAGAAAGAGACGGACACCTAATGCATGCTGACAGGGTGTCGTGCTGTTGTTTAATCAATTATCAAGCCAAAAAGGCAAATATTTGCTGGTTCCGGCTGCTATAATGTGAGGATTAAGTGCTCCTGTCAGTTTTTAGATCATTACTTATTAAATACAAATGAATATTGGACTAACGGTCAGACGAGACAAGCTAATGATTTCACCTTGGATGTTTTTCCAGTGTGTTGTAACATGTTCAAACTAAATCATTTAAATTCACATTCATAAATCTTTCATGAAAGCCTCTGCCTGTTGTAGGCCGACACAGAATCACCTGGTGTTTTATTTATTGGGAGTATAAACCTGCATATTCAGCGTCCTGATGCCGGTTTAAGAGGATTTATTTGTTGCCTCTTTTGTAAAAAAAACAAAAAAACATTCATTCTTTGACAGCTCTCTGGTGGTTCCAGGTAATCGTGGAAATCTAGGAATTTGGTTTGCCTAGAAATGTGAAATGCAAAGCCGGCCCCTCCCCCCTCCTCTCTCTCCCACCCTCTCCACCTCCTGACCCTGATGCACCCTTCCCCCATTTTTCTTTTTTTCTTTTTTTTTGCTGCTCACACTCATCACATAGCTCCGCCTCAGCAGCCTCTCCGCTTATTTGATGTCATGGTTTTGTTGGTTTTCCCCCCCCTCTCCTCCTGGTGTGGCATGCTGGGTGGGACTGTCCCTGCTTTGCTTCTGATTCGAGAAAGGTCAGATATTTTTAAGTTGCAGCTGAGCTCAGGTGGCCGGAGACTCGTGAGGAAGGAGCTTTTGAACTGCGACTGACTCACTGACCCGACTGGCTGCGCTGCAGAAAGATGAAGCGCACACGTAGAAGCCCGAGTACAGTAGACTCGTGGACTTCCAGCACCCTGCCCGGGCATGTAACACGATCAAGATGGACTGTTATTGTAGGCAGAGGCTTTAAAAGGAGCTGCGTGTGAGCGTGTGTGCATGTGGGTTACTTGCACGACTTGTCTACACAGTATAGGTCAGGCTGGAATGCAGCGCTGAACACACACACTCGTGCTTCTCGTCTGGCCATCTGGTGAAACTTATTGCACCATCTCAGCATCACACACACACACACACACACACACGGGGGGAAAAAGTAGGTGAAACGTTCAGCAAGGTAAATCATTTTTAAAATGCTTACCAGAGTCAACAGCTCGACCCATGCTTTTTTTTTTTTTTTATAACGCACTCCTTCCCAAGGAAATGAGCGCTCTTGTTGTCATCTGCTCGTAATCATGCAGCCTCTACCAATGACTCTGACTTCAGTTTGACCCTCTCAGATAAAAGGCAGGTTATCGTAGGGACATAAACAGAGACTGAACCCAGCGGGGACAGACTTCTCGCTTCGGCTCTGCTCTGTGTCACGCTGCAGACAGTCACACTTGCTCAACCCCGCCTCGCCAAGCAAATATTCTGTAACGCTCGAGACCTCGGGCCCTAAAATCTGCGGACGACAAAGAGGCGAGGCTTATTATCGCCGCCTGTTTTTGTTTTGTCGGCCAAGTAAGCACTTCGGTGAATGCCTTATCGCCGACTCAGGTGTAAAAGCATCCCAGGCACCGTTGTACACAAACAATCTTAACGGCTCCCCTGCTGTTCGAGATGCTATCTGGTTTCAGGAAGCCAAGCTTGTCGGCTTGTGTTTGGCAGTGACATTTAAAAAAAAAACAAAAAAAACCAGGACGAGGAATAAAACTTTACTGTTACTCCAGCATTATGACCGCTAATTTACATCAGGGATAAAACCTCACAGAGGGGGGCACACGCTTGCATGGATTTAACCGATTCAGGCTTTTAGTCAATAAAAGTTCTACGAGTTTCATTTAGTTGTTTAACACAGATTTTTTGGGGGGAAGCTTTCGACCCCCAACCCCCTTCCAGCTGTGATTTTAAACGTTAGCTAGTGAGTGAGTGCAAGAGGCCCTGCCAAATTCTTTAGCCTAGTCAAAGACAAACAAGTCTGTTTGTTGGTAGTAATCACCAGTCATGTGTTAATACATTGAAACTGGTTCAGACACGGGTTTACGTCCACGCCGCGCAACTCCCATCACCAGACATCTGCAGCCGATCCTCGGAGTCGAGCTTTTGCGGCGTGCGATCGATAAATCCTGTCACATTTTAATGCACTTACACACATCTTTCCACATTTTTTATGGTGTTTTCTTTTTGCCTCGGTTTCGTGTTTTATCGCATTTCAAATATGTAAATGAAAACAGCTGAGCGGCAAGACGTACAACGGAGTCTAGCAGAAGGAACAGTGCTCATTAAAATTAATATCTTCAAAGTGGAGCTAACTTAATGATTTTATACTGTTTGGTAGGGAAGTCTGTAACAGTTTTAAATCATTCACTTGTGAGCCGATGATGTTTTGTGTTTAAAATTAGAATCTTCAAAGTAGCTGTAGATGTTGGTTTAAAAGTAATTCCCTCTGAAATCTGCAGGAGTAGACAATTAAGTAAGTTTAAAATGGGAATACTCAAGTGGATAAGACAAGACAAGTTCATCTGTTTCGCATGTTTCATACACAAAGACAAGTTAGTGCTTTACATAGTGGATGACGATGTTTAAAAACAAATACAACATAGAAATTTAAAGTAGAAGATAACTATACGATTGTTAAAAAGTCCATAAACATTATTTAAACGCAGTGGGAAAAACAGTTTTTAAAAATGGCTGCAACTGGGGCAAACCGAGGTTCCGGGGGGAGCCGGCTCCAGCAGTGGGCAGCGTTATGGCTAAAAGCCATTTCTCCATGTTGGGTTTGAACTCTGGGCTCCACTGGCTGAGCCGTCCCTGCAGAGCCGAGGAGCCTACCAGGCTCAGCAAACATCTCTCTGATATATTTTTGGGTTCAGACCATCCAGAGACTTACAGAGAATAAGTAGGGCCTTAAATTCTATTCTATATTTAACCAGAAGCCAGTGCGAGGATCTAAGAAGTGGAGGGATGTGTTCTCTCTTTTCTTTGCAGCAGCAGAACAAGCAGAACTACTCAGAAGATTCAGATATTAGCCTGTTGACGCTTATCCACCATTTGAAGCAGAAACAACTTGACAAGCTTCTCAAATAACGTTTAGTCCTGATGTAGTGATACGACCATATTCCAGCATGTTTCCGATGTCTGTTTGCCCGATTAAGAATTCCAGGAAACTTGTAATTAAAAACTAACACCATTAGTTTATCAGAGTGTTTGTGCCACTCGTATAAAGAGGTTGTGATGCATATTAGTGGAACGCATTTATTTGTTTTGAACAGTTATATTATTAGGATTTGTATGTCTTTGGCATTTTGTGACTTCTTTATTTTTTGATTGGTCAAATAACAGAAAATTAATTGGCAATAAAAAAAAACAATTCAGCCGTTCAAGCTTCTCAAATTGAATACATTTCATTGCACAAAACAAGTCATTAGAAATGCCTGTGATGTATTTGTTGACATTTTGTAGCCTAAATTAATAATGAATCACATGACAAAACAATCTGGAGATCAACCGATGGAGAAAACAGCAGCCTTCATTTGAATATTTACTAGAAAGAAACATCCTCTGTAACATCGCGGTGCTGATTTCCGCCATATTAGACAGCCGTTCTAAAGCCTTTTTAATTCATGTCTCACACAAAAAAAAAAAGTAATGTGATGCATTAGCAGGACAAATGCCTGCCAGCAAAGGTCATGAGCCACAGTTCTCTGAGATAAAAGCCAGTTTCACCTTTCAGTTTGCCTTTCTTCTACTTGAAGTCTACCACGACCGGCCCGCGTCTTGTTCAGACAATAAACTTGATACTTTTGGTGCTGGGATGGGTCAGATTCATTGTCATGAGTGCTATCTAAAGGCTCTGACACTTGGGTTGCAGTTTATCATCAAGGATTTTTGTTTTTTTTTTCCTCTTCTTCTAGACAAAGCCAGAAGCACATTCCTCTGTCTTTATCACATCTGCATTAGTTTGTGTCTTGGCGCTATCAGACGCCGCTGCCATGTTTTGACTGGAGTCCTCCAGCTTGAGTCAGTTTGTGAGTTTTAAACCACCAGTCAGCCTCCTGTCATCCAACATGCCTCGCTTTCTCCCTCTACGACAAAAGAGCTGGCTTCCAATAGGTGGAATTAACCCAGTCATGTGGGTCAAACTACAGGCAACAGTTTTTGTTTTTTTTTCCTGCTGATGGGACAAAGCTGCCTTTTAGTGTAGGTGTGACTTTATGTGGGTCTGTTTGTCAGGCTGCTCTCTCTTAAGTTTAAATTCCAGCCGGACGAGCGTCTCTTTCTTTGCAAAGGGCACAGGCTTCAGAAATGATGAATGACTGTGGCTTAAATTTATGAAGACGATTTGAACTTTCTTGCCAATGTTTTATTCCCTCTGCGTGTCCGCGGAAGAAATTGATGATGCAGTTTGGAGATTTCTCGAAAAGACGGGTTAAAAATGTTGATTTTTCTGGCAGCCACATCAAACACTTCTTTGTAAAACTTTGCCCGATGCTTTGTTCTAAATGACTTGTCGATAATTCAGATAACTAGTGGCATTAATCACATCACAAGCGTGGACCAGATCTGGTCTGGGTGCCAGCGAACAATGAGTATTGTTTGGCTTTTTCAGCTAGTCATTTTACAAGACAGCGTGGCATTACCGGCTTACTGCTGACTTTCTTTTAGAACTTTTGGATTTGAAAATTGGCCCTTGGAGATGTAGGAAATTGTAATGTGCAAAGCCAGATATATAAATACATGTGGAGATGTTTGCAAAGATGACTTGACATCCTGTGATCTAAATGAGAAATATAATATAAAAGCCAAATGAGTGGGGAAACTATAACTTCTCCGGTGTGCCGGTTGGCTTTCCTCGTCTGATTTGAACACACTTCAAATG